GTAGAAAAATTCCTGTATTAGTCATTTTTACCGGTCGACCAAGCAATACTACTATAAAAAAGCACAGTTCATTATATAAATAAAAAAGATGATACGTCCGACTCAAATGAAAAGATAAAAGTTAAACTAAGATCAGGGTTTTTCAAATAGATTTTTATCGTATTTTGTGTTCGGTTAACCACACAAAGTGTTTTACAGGAAATCTTGAACAGAATTGTTATCATTTTCTTTTTGTTAGGTCGAGCAAATCAAATATCATTGTTTTAATAATTTTTTTTATAACATGTTTACAAAAATGCCCTTTTTGTGTTTGGTCTACTGAAGAAAATGTCATTTTCTATATTTCATTGGATGTAACATTTTCTACGATCTTATGCAGGATATTTTTGTAAGTCTTATTCGTTTGACCGAACAAAATGTCTTATAGAGGAATTTTATATTTACATTGGATGTAACATGTTTTTTCTATCTAACGAAATGTACTTTGGTTAAATACTCTTGTTCGTTGTCCATCGGTTGTGCGTCGTGTCTGCAGCAATAATTTCTTTAAACAACTTCTCCTTCTAAACCACCTAGCAAAATGTGTTGAAACTTTGCATAAAGCTCTACCAAAGCTGTTAAAATAATTAAATTCCTGGAAGAACTCTAGTTGCCATGACAACAGAAAGATTCCTTTTAAATCTTAAAAAATCTTTTCAAAAACAACAAAGTTTTGAGGTGAGCCGTGATATTGGTATGATACATACAAAGAGTGTTCAAATTATTCCACTAGGGTTAAAAGGAGCCCCGCCAGGGGGCTCGTCAGTTTTATTTTATAATGTTATATAGGGAAATCATAAAAAAATCTTCTTGTCAAAATCAACAAGGCCTAGAGCCTTGACTGTAGGTATGTAACTTGATCAAGAGATCCTCTACACATATTTTTCAAGTTAAGCCTCTTTGGTTAAAAGGGAACCGCCATAGAGGTTACTCGAATTAAAGAAAATATCTTTATATTCTCATGTCGAAACATCAAGATACAGTTTTTATATTATGTATGTAACATCATCTAGTGTTCCTTCACAAAAAATGTTTAAAATAAGCCCTAGGATCAATCAAAAGAAACCCCACCAGGTCACACCCCGGTTTAATATGAAGTTATATAGGGAAAGAGCCTTGATGTTTGGTATGTAACATTAAAGAGGTCCTCTATAAAGATTGTTTAAATATGCTCCTAAAATGAAAAGGGGCCCGCCCAGCAAGGGGGTTTATCTCGATTAAAAAGAAATCATTAAAAACCTTCTTGTCGAAAACCACAAGGCCTACAGCTTCGATATCTGATTTGTAACATTGTCAAGAGTTTCAAATTATGTCCCTTGTTTTCAAATTATTCTTCTGTGGTGGGGTGGGGTTCAACTGTGATATTTTGACCTAATTCTCAGGTGAGCGACTCACGACCTTCTGTGCCCTCTTGTTCTTATAACATGTGCTTTTGTATTGAAGTTTTGTTTGGTTGACAAACAAAGTGTCTTATAGATCCCTTTGTTTTCCCATGAATGTTAAAAATAATATGAACACAACCATTCATATTAACTGTTTTAGATATACCTTTTTAAATTTGATACAGCGGTATATTCATTTTGAAGATTAGTTATGATAAAATTATGTTTGTTAAAGACTGCATTTTAACTGTATCATATTTCATTCTAAATACCCTATTTGCCTTTCTTTTGTAAATGAATAACACAAGAATGGGCGAATTCAAGCATGTCTGTTTTACATTATATTGAGCTCATTGTTCGGCGTAATTAACAATCAAGCGACAAATGTTATTTATGGAATCTGTTTTTTTAATCAGATGTGTTTCATAATATAAAATGATGATATGAAAAAACGTCACGATTTTACTTTTCACGATCGTCAATTAACTAGGGCGGAAATATACTCTCTTCAAAGCTTTATTTATTAAAAAATACATGTGTACCGTTTTTTATTAAAAAAGAAGTTAAAACTCGTTTTAAGTAACATAATGCTTTAAATGCTGAAGGTATATTAATGCTCAGTAGTCTGTGTGAATAGTGGATGTATATTGGTTACTCAGAAATATCATTGTACCATTAAAGCTTATGAAACGGCAGGTAAGAATTGTCACTATGATAGTAAATGGACTTTTGTTTAGATAAATTAGAATAAATCTGCATCGATATTAATTTCAAAGTAGTCATATATGCAATATGATACATGTGCTAATTTATATAGTACATAGACTGAAGAAATGCTGAAGGAAATTTTGTTACTACAGTAAATAAATTTGTTTCAATTAACAGGCACTATCAACGCGTTAGTTTTCTCTATCTTATCAGTTAGCAAATTGCTTATTTTCAAATTTCTACGAATTAAAAAATTTATTTACTTTAACATCGAAATTCTAAACATTTTGTTTGCAGCAATAACTGATAATTGCACAGATGCGTACGAAATATCCATGTCTATTAAAAAGTTGTCTATATATTCATATTCATATCGATACCCTCTTTGCAAAATCTACTCAAACGGTATCCTCTTTGCGCATGTACCAGTCATTCTCTATTGAAAACAAACCAGCAATAGATAACAATGTTTGTTTAGGTATGTCATTTGAAAAAAATGAATAATACATTATAATGTATAAGCCCCATAAAAATATGCATGTCTTGCCTCGACAAATTTTCTTGCTTTAATAAACCGGTGGTTCGGCTTAGCATTTATAAAAATAGATATATAAAGAAATAAATAACTAAATGGATGAATAAATAAATAAAATAAACAAGAGGCCCTTGATGTATTGCACACCAATGTTTTTTCAAAGGAACTTGCTAAAAGGCAAGCTGGAAAGTCGCCATATGACCTACATATAATGTGTCGATTTGACCTAAAACCAAAGTAAACAATCAAACAGTCACACAACTTCATGATCAGTCCATTCTTTATAAAATTCATCAATATTATCAACATATATACTTGATGGAAAAAAAAAACTTGTAAGATTTAATAAATGTTTTCACATTTGATGAATAAAAACGGGTCTACTTTGTCTTAATTCCAAATAAGTTGCAAACCGTGTTATGCCAGTGTTACCTCAAAACCTGAAGTGGAGTACATTTAACCCTATGTTAAATGTTTTCAGCTCAAGATAATCTCACAGTGCGATTCGTAATTTTTCCAAAAAGATCTTTAATATATTATTCGTATCTATAAAATCAAAAGTTTAAATAACAGGGAAAGGTTTAGACATGCAATTTTAAAACAATGAAAAGGCAAACAAACAAAAGTACACTTTAAGTCATAAGTTCGTGATTATGTTAACCATCATAACTTTTGCCATACAGCACTATATTGTGAAGGCCACGACATTACCTTACGATAAACGCGGAAGATAATTTATGTTAAAAATCACACTTTTAACTGTCAATGCTTATACTAAACGACAGCGTATTAGTTGTTAATAGCAAACAAATTATTTATAATTTAATTAAATATTGCATTATTAGTAGCAAATTAATCCACTTTACGATTCTATACCGACGATATGTTTTTTAAATACAACGCAATCCAAGAAACGAGGTATGTATTCAGATGAAACAATTGTAAATACATATTAGACGGACAGGTTTTATGAACGAATTAGATATCATTGACAGAAGCGAGTTATTTTGCAAAGCGATTAACACATTCATATCTCTTAAAGGAATATTGATTGTTATACCAAACGTTTTTAGCAAAGTTTTTTTTATAAAGTCAGATTAAGACGTTTAAAAATGATACAGAGTTTTTTACCCTGTTAGTTAGAGTGTTTGTTAAATTCAGTTCAAAGCAATCGATAAATTAAAAAATATAACTTTTATTGTAACTTTATGGAATTTATGTGACAGATAAATCTATAAATGTATTGAAATGCCTGATTTTAGAGTTGGTGAAAAGAAAAAGTTTACAAAACCTTGCATTTTTGTTGTATTTCATATTTTGTATTTGATTCTTTGATTTTCAATTATCTATACCTATAAAGGATTGACAATAATCAATAGTATTCAAGGCCAAACTGTACCAATTAAACATATTCTAAGATCATAAAATAACAATCATTAAAGCAGGTGCTTGTTACATGGTTAATTCAAATCAAACAAAACTATATATTCTCTAATGAAAACAGATTCTTTAGATTTTTCGGGATAAAATGGTGTTATTTTCTTTTGAAGAAATTCTAAAATATAATGATTGTGTTTAAGCATTAGTTTTCTCAACTGAAACATGTGTGACTATCTGCTATGTGACGTGAGACAAATAAAAAAACATTCATTATGTTTATGATAGTTTTTATAAAAAACAATTTAAAAATTTAGAATGAACACGATTCAATAGAAATTAACGATAAAATCCGAAACATGTGTGCTGAAATAAGCACAGGAATGTCACTTACATCTTATCTAAACATACTAAGCGCGACAATTATGTAAATGATAAATGGGGTGAAAAGTTTGCATATTTTGTCTTACTAGAGTATCAAATAAATAATCATAGATCTAAAATACCCAGATATCTGTAACGAGATGTACATATCGAATTGGTAACACACCCTGAAAAAACAAAGTTTCATATACGTGAATAAAATTCATGCAAGCATTCAAATACCTGTGAACCCACTTCTAGGTAAAGGAAGTTATGCTGCGCCATTACTTTTTGGTGCCAAACTTGGTCAAGTCTAAATATTTTAAATCATCTGATCAAAACAATACTTGATATTCAGATCAAGAATGAGTTCAATTATTGTTAAAGCCAAGATATTTCTCCTGCTTTATTCAAATTAAAAAATAATACTTTTGTTTATAACAAGCCTAATTATAGCAAGAAACGTCCCTTATCAAACATTTACTAAAGAAACTTGTTTAAAGCAAGCTGTAAAATAAATATTTAATGTTTAAAAGATAGTAATTTTAGAAGATATCCCGGCTATAACTATAGTGTATAACTGTGTATTTCAGATAAATCCACTGCTAAAAAATGGAGATATCTGACATAAAACTTCGTTATAATTGTGAACCTTGTACGCATCTTAAGACGTCAGCATTCTCGGATGGTTTTTGTTTACAATGCGAAGAAGAAATGTGTCAAAGGTGTTTTGATACACATAAACAATTCAAGCTTAACCGGGGTCATCAGCTTGTCCACTCAGTCGAGGCTAAATCTAAAAGCAAAGAAAGAACAAAATTTGATAATTGTACTAAACACCTCAATAAGTATATTGAATTTTTCTGCCCTGAACATGGCCAAGTAGGGTGTGGTGATTGTATGGTAATCTCCCACAAACCCTGTAAAATCAAGAATATACTTCAACACATTGATGGATATAAAAACAGTGCAGAGTTCAAACAGTTAAAGAAGGACATAGAGAAGTATGACGGTGAAGCGAGATCTATGTTACAAAGCATCGGGCGCAGCAAGGACCATATAAAAGATGTCAACAAAAAGTTTGCTCTTGACGTCAAATTATTCAGGGATGAAATTATTTCACATATCACAAAACTTGCTGATGCAATGCTAAAATATGGAGATGATATCATGGCAGCAGACATGAAAAAAATCGAAAACCTGGAAAAAGAAAATAAAAGCCTTGTTGATGAAACAAATGGCATGAGAGTCACATTGCAATCAGAAGTTGATCAACCGTACAAATTGTTTATCAGTTCCCTGTCATACACACAAAATCTTCATCTCTTCCATCACCAGTTAGAAAGAATTAAATATAACAATACGATCGAAACGTACAATTTCAAGCGTGACTGTAACCTCGAACAATTGGTGAAAACTTGTAAACAACTAGGAACTGTGCATAAGCCAAAGGAATCGGATAACGGTATATTTCTAACTATTTTAACTATTATAGAAATTTTGATGATACTTGGATGTTTAAACAGGATTATAAGGATAATCTTAAAATATGTGTCTTATCAATAAAACGGTTACAAAACATGTAATTAATTGCTACATGTTTTTTTATTTAATTTCAAAGTTAATCAAGTGAATATCTTTTAAAGGTTCATCAGTTTTGTGTTATCCCAAGGAAACGGTAAGAGAAAACAGAGCAACATCGACGAAAAAGGCTCAACATTCACCAGCAAATCAAGTAAGTATCATTTAATATTTCGGTGTTTTGTAACTTTAATTTTAGATTTATCCAAACGACGAATCCAATCATTACGAAATCAATATATATTGTAAATGTAAAGAGTGTTTATATTTCAAATGCAATAATAAATAATTGCTTACTTTGCGTTATATTTTGTTTTCAGCCGTTGCCGGGCAGGCAGCTTGTTTGCAAAAAACTCATCATTGCCGGAGAATTCATCAGGTGACGGAACATAACATATTTCTATATAAGAACTTGGACTTTATTATCTATATGCATTATCTTAAAATGTATCGTAAAATTAATGTTTAAATACGTTGAAAACCTAATTTTATTTAAAGAAAATGTACTATCTGATTTTATATACGAGTGATTGTTTTCAGTTTTGCTGAAAAGGCAAACGGTTACCTTGGTTTATTTATTAACACTCACACAGTTAAGCATCGTGACATTTTTGAAATCGAGATTGTGAGTCTTGGAAGTGGCGGAGTTATAGGTAAAAGTTTTCGTTCTATCAAATGTATTACAAGCCATATATTTAACCTAAATACATTTTGTACTATAATGCTGCTAAGACGTGTAAACTCTCCAACAAGACTTACATGTATATGCATCCTAAAAGTATGATATAATCCAGTAAAAACCATGAAAGCCTATCGTCATAAACAAACTTAGATGAACTTTTCCTGTAATAAGTTACTGACGTATTTATCATGCAAAGATATTACAGTATTTAGTAAGATTTTTATATTTTTATCGGTAAATATTTGCTGGAAATTAATTTATATTCTGCCAGCTATACATCACATCCAAATCATGTTAAATAACTATTTGTTTTATTTTCATCATTTTGCTGATTTTCAGATTATCAACATGATACTTTACAATAAACATCATGACTCGTTTCTTTTACATACTCAATTGTTCATTAATCTCGTTAAATAAATATGTCTTATAGTAAACATAAACCATAGAATGTTTTCATATATATATATAGTTATTATATAATTATATAATTTCATTATAGCTATTGGTGCGGTGCCGGATGACTTTCCTGATAATCTTTTACCGGGTTTAGGAAATGATTCCCATGGATATCATTCAGACGGAAGGTATGAGTACACTGTTTATTGTTAAGACTCAGTCATACCTTTCCTTTTTAAATATTTAAGCGACGAAAAAGAAAAGAAAAATACTTAACCAAATACAATATAAAGCCAATTATTTCTAGACGTCAGATGCTCCCCCAACTTCACCCCCATCCCCCAAAAAATTAAATAATAACATGATTTTATTACTTGTGCCGTTACCATATTGTCAGCGTTTTATAAATACATACAGGTTAACAGAAATATATACACAAATTTAGTTTACGTAACTCAATTAAAGTATATGTACATGTATAGTTGACCTTTTTAAAAACGGAAATTGTGTCGTCATTTTAATGATAAATAGATCTTTCTGAAGGAAAAAGTAAAAACAAGTAAGAGTAGCTGGCAAAATGTTTGCAACCTTAGTTCATGTTCAAATATTATGCGAAACGTTTGTACGGTTACAATATATTCGCTGTGCAAATCGAAATCAGTATGATTATATTAAACGAGATGTTGAAGCCATATATGTCAACACCTTTATCAAATACTCGATTAAAAAAATACTTATATCAACCGAAGAACTGTTGAATAAACATGTATAACATGTTAGTGCATGTAAATAATAGGAACATAGTTGCATTTTTAGTTAATTCTTTAAATCATTAAGCCATTATTTGTACCGTTTATTTAACTAGTTGTTTTTTTTTCATAGTATAAAACTTACCTGTACATTCTGAAAAAAATCAAAATAAATCAGCGCTTTTATATCAAATGCCAACATTATCTTTCTGAAAGGAAATGCATGATTATAAGGACATGCAATCATAATAAGGACGTGCAATACCTTCAAAGTACTAAACACCATTAAAGATGAAGTTTGGAGATTATTTATGATTATGATAAAATATTTGTTAAGCCTAGCTTTAAATTATACAAGTTTTCTAGTTTGATAACATTTTTTTTCTGTAAAATGTCCAGAACATCTTTGCTTAATAAATATGAAAACAATGACAATTTATTTATTAAAATAGAGCACTGGGCCATTTTGAAAATATTTTCGCATTGACATTGTCTGAATGTTAGCAAATTGAAAATATTTACTTAATGTAGAGATGGTTATCAAAGATTTTTGTCAATATGATTTTCTCTTTCCAAGAATTTTTTTTAACAAAGTAATACACAGAATATTTTATAAGGAAATGTAAATTATGCCTAAAAGCAAATAAAGAGTAAAATCACACTATGGTAAATGATTGTTAGGAAAAAGAAAGAAATGACATGTAATATTGAACATACAAACAATGCTTTTTGTTCAGAAAATACCTAACATTGACAATATTGTTTTCATTTCTTAAAATAAATTTTAATAACATAATGCAGACGTTGAATAAATTACCCATGAAATCAATGCTTTTCAAATCAGAATTTTTTTAAAGGAAATGTATTTTTAAAGGCAGGAATTGAAAAGAAGAATAGTTCATAAAAGATACGTTTGTACTTATAAATTGTTAAAGAATAAATAAAAAACTTGTCTTGAGAGTTGAGGTTTTTAAAACTGCAGTTCTATAAGTTATTCAAAATAAGTGACCCGCATAACGGTTTGCTATATCGGCGTTTCTCAATGTAAGTGTTTCATTTAATGAAAGGGTTAAAGTTAGCTTCGATAAAAGTTTTTGAAAAGCTGCTTAATATAGAAAATAAAATTCAAAATAACCAAATGGATATAGTAACACATGACAGATAGAATAATGGTTTTTAATCGTAGCATAACTGTAGCCAGGATTAATCCTTATTGTAAATTTTCAAGTATATATTTTTTTCAATCTTGTTAGAAAGGAAATGAAACATCTAGAAAATTAAACAATATGATATGTTTTGGAAAAAAATAAAGTGTAAAAAGACAGATTTATTGTTCTCGGTTGCATTATTCCTCTTACATGACATCTTTATACTACATTTTGAATTTTGAATAATATACTAGTTTTATGGTTTTGACAAATAACACACGATTAAAATAAGGAATTATTATTCAAGGATTAATTCATGTCATGTATAGCTAAAAATTTCGAACCAAACACATTCAACTATTTCATGTAAATGCAATATTTTTATAAATACTTATGAAAAGTATGTTTTCCAATTCTGCTAGTTTTATATTGTATAATCGTGTTTTTGTTCTTCTTTTATAAGTGTTTATCAAAATTGAAGGGAATTATATGCATGGCATCAACAATCGTGGCAAGTGGGAGATAAAATCAAATGTACAATGTAAGTAAGTTTAAGACGTTTGTATTTTATTGAATGATATTTGCTTGTGATTGTTTTTCTTGATGAACATGTTTACACACACAGAGTAGATTTATTCTTATAAAAAGTTATTAGATATGAATGTTGTCTTACTTGTTTGTTTATAGTTTCTTATTTGGCTTATCAGATGTCAGCAATTAATTAAGTGATGATTTTTATGGTGTTCATTTATAAACCATCTAATAATTATATATCAAATAGCATTATTAATATAATTCCTATATGTGGACCACTATCAATCATCTGTTTAAAATACCCATCTAATATTTATGTACGTTCTATGGTCAATCGTCTTATACTGTGTACAGTGCTATAGGTCCGTGTATTTGTAATCAATGCTTTGTTATGTTTTGAATACATAATCTATAATGCTAGATAAAATTGATGACGCAAACGTTGTTGTTGTTTAGTTTGTTTTTGTTTTTTGTGTTTGTTGAAATGGTATTTTCAATTATTAACAAAGATTTTATATAATTATTGCATATCCCTAATCTTATTAGTAATGACGCCTACACATAGTTTATATAATGGCTTTCAAATTTTAAGGTTATAACTTTATTTAGGCTGTTTCAACGAAACTGTGTGTTTTTTTTTACCTAACAGGTTATTAATTAATCATATTCACACAAAAATGTTAATGACTTGGAAAAAAACTAAACTTCATGATTTCTTTATCATTTTAAAAAATATGATAATTATTATGTGTCTGCAAGATGTTTACATTGAAGAAAATTTATGTTCCTTTGTTAAAAAAGAATGGGGATATGACGCATTTTTAGCCAATATAAACATAATAGAGGAGGGGTAATGATGTTGTTTAGAATTAATTTTTTTTGGAGCAAAAACTAGAAAGTATATACATTTTTTACATTTTTCTTTTCCTTTTTCTTTACATTTGTACAGTTACGAAAATGGAAATTATCTTGTTCTTCGTATACAGAACTGCAGACTTACTAATTTATGAATTTATATGGTCAAATGATGACAAACCGGCTTTTTATGAAAATATTAAACAGAAAATATTTGAAATTGGTAATGATAACTTGATGATTGGCAGAACTCGAAATTTTGTTATCAATCCCTCAGTAAATTATGAAAATAACATGCATATCAGTAACCCTCGAGCAGATAATGTATTCAAGAACTATAAAACATTAAAATTATTTAGACGAATGGCGTGTTCTAACTGGCAACAAATAAGAAAATACTTGAAAAGGAAAGACTCCGATAAGAAAGCAAAATAAGGTTTTTCTTTTTCTTTTGAACAAGGATATGTTGAATTATGTAACTAATTGTAAAATACTTACAGGTAATAGAACAAGTACTCAGGTTTTTTGTTTAAAATTATTTGAATATGAAAGGGGAAGGGGTTATTGGAATTTTATTTGCACTCTTTTGACCCCACCCCCCCCCAAAAAAAAACATAAACAAAACAAAAAACTCATATATATATATATTGATCTAGTTAATAATACATTACATATACACAATTGAGTTGATTTACGTAAAAAGAAAATAACGCTGCAGGTAATTATGAAGATTCAGATTAGATATTAACTCCCAACCTTTACTTAAAACTTCTGGGTTATTCTTAGAAGTGAAATAATAAAACATAGTGCAGAAAGAAAACAGAAGATGAGAAAAACTAGAAAAAGAATTAAAAAAAATAATTAAAAAAATCAATCATTAGAAAAACAAATATTCTTAAATCCCATTTCTTCGAGCTGTAGGACTTCTCTCACGATAACTTACACTGACACAAGTTGTCCAAACATTAATAAACTATTTTTTACAAAGTATCACAATTTAAAGAAGTGTCGCTCAAAATGTGTAGCCACATTATTAACATAATGATATATCCAAATGATAGGGTAACAATGCTAGCGGTTATTTGATTAAAGGAACACATTGTCAACAGAAACTTATAAGAAACTTGCTATAATTTATCTAAATACTTTTGCTCAAATATCATATAAGAACTGGAACGTCTTCAAGCAAATAAAACAGTTCTTTAAAAAAAACTCAGAATAATAAAGGTATAGTTTTGCACAATTCTATTTTTAACATGTTTCACAAAAAGGTTTATATGTTACATTGAAAAATATGCAAGGGTAGAATTCTGTCTATACATATCACTTTTATATTGTCTATCAGTATTAACCGTATTTGGATTATACTAATGCTGGATGTTTATTATACGTATAGATTTCATTTAAATTGTCTGCAATATTTATACAGGTTATGATGCGCCAAATAGATTACTTTTACTTTTTTCCACATTGCTGGTATCACATTGAATATTGGTACGTTTTTTTATACAATATTCGTCTTTAATGCCATGATCGATGTGTTTGAAATTTGAACCATAAATGTAATTCGATTTATATTCTTATCATTCTTTATTTTGTTTATTTTCAGTGTCCTGAGGTATGTATAATATAACATTAATTATACATAATTACATATACTCTCCATCAGAATGATGACCTATTAATGGCTTTGCGTAAAATAACATTTGATATAACATAATTTACTAGACAAAAGGCCAAGACATTTCATGGTTATGTGTTTTGTTAATTACTAAGCTAATTACTTGAATTAAACATTCTAAAAGTGTCTTATTGCGATGTCTTGTCAATACATATATTAATAAATATATTTACCGACATATAGCATAATATTATACTCGGATAAAAAGTTTAACTTGAAGATTAAAGATTAGTGTCTGTCACGCATAAGCTGTTCATAAAATTCAAAAGTCATGTTTGATTGTGTGACCACATTGTATTTATTGTTTTTTGTCCTAGTTGCAAATTGTTGTCGGATATAGTGATTAATATGCATGTACATTTGTATCTCATAATCGCTCTTCTCGAATATGCCCCCCATTAATGTAGACGTCTGATACATTAAAGGTTATGTGCAACACAACTTTGAAAAAAATACGCACAAATGGGGCAGTGAAAACCGACGTATAATTTCTATGTTGAAATATGCAAAATTTTAGACCCATTTATCAAGAGATAAATTCAGAAGAACCGTTATAAATGCAATGCGTTTCCCCACTTATATAATAACACATATTTGTTATTAACTTGATAATAAAGATTACTTTAACATTTTGTTCCTTTTCACTCATAACTATATACAAACAACTTACATTAGATAATTCATACGAAATTTAAAGAAAGTTCATGAAAGTCACATTTTCGTATTAAATTTTCAGTAACGACATAAAAATCTAACCATATCTGTACATAAATCATAATGATGCTAAATAAATGCCAAATAACACACACTTGTGAGAAAATCATGGCATTCTTGTCATTAACGCTGTAAATTCAATTGGATATTATTTAAACTTGCCTATGGATTTGTTTAACTACAAAGCGCTTTTATTAAATGTATTGCATACAACAATTATTTCGTTATATTTAACTAAATATTTTGACAGAACTTGATTTCTTCTAAATATACGCGTGGAGTTGAGCGAAATCGACAAATGTTGCATCTTTCCTAGGTCATTTTCTCTGCAAGGTTCTAAATTATTTTATTCATGTGAATGAATGGTTTTAAAACATGTCAGGGGTTTTAATTTATACTTTGTTTATTGTTCTAACTGGGTGTTTTCGCGGTTAAATGGAGTGGACATGAAATAGCAACAACAAAATAAAGAAAAGGAACATGACACGTTTTTTTTTTCAAAATATGTATGCCCCCAATTATAAGCCAATTAGTCATCTTTCCAGGTTATTGAGACTGACTTAAACAAATAATTGGGATCATCTACTTGTCATAACTAGTCACTAGGTTAGTGTGACCACAAAGGTGTGTGCAGCATTTTTACGACAAAGTTGTTTTCACACATCTTACAAAATAATATATTCATCATATCAATCGTATATTCAATTGTTATAGAGAAAAAAATTGTCAAGGCTGATTTTGTAAAATATCTGTTACAGTTCATTTCATTTGGCGACATCTTTGATTTCCACCATCAACATTTAACTTTTTCTGTGCAATATACATTCCTAATACAATGGTCGATGTGTTTGAATAAAACTATACATGTAATTCGATGTTTATTCTTTTCATTTTTTCTTTTGTTTACTTTCAGGTACTTGAGGTATGTATAATATCAAAATGTATCATACTTACAAAGTCTATCAATATGATGACTCTTCCATGGCCTTTTTACAATTTCTTATTTGATTTAATAATTTAATAGAGTATATTAGGGTTTATCAATAAGTAACAGGACTGCAGCTCTACTGGTCACATTTTTAATATATGTACACAATTTACACGCGACAAATATCGGAATATGTTCTCTCCTATACAGTGAAAAAATCGATACAAAATGTTTACAAATAACAATTCTATGATATTTCCAAATGGCAAGGGATACGAACCCGGTGCAGACTAACTTTAAAACAAATGACGTTCATGGAGTCGTAAAATGAAAAATACAAATAAACAAATACTTATAATTTTTTTCATTTTTTTTAAAAAAAAAATTCCCATTGAATACTATTTGGAAACAAACCTAAATCAGCTTACAAACCGCCCAACATTTTGTTGTTTTGATTGAATAAGGTTTTGAAACAATATATCAGATATATATTGTGTAATTGAATTTATCATATTTTACCCAATGAATAAGAAAATAATAAACAACACGCATTGTTTTTCTTAAAGAATGGTAAAATATAACAAAAGAAAACAAATCGATATTATTTTTATTTGAAAAATGAGAATAAAGATCAACAAGGCTACGCTACGTTCAAAGAACGCAATCCCCGGCACAATTCATTTATACCAGAAGGGCACCAAAAATGCACCGATCATAAAATTGGGAGACATAAGGGAGATGAAAGGAGGAAAACGATACATTATATTAAGTAAAATTATAAGAACTAAAAGGGGCCAATACTTGAATAAGAGGGGCAAGAGATGTAAAG